CCGAGGGCGTCCTTTACCGAGCAGAACCGGCATTGGTTAGTTAGCGTTTGGGAAAACTGACAAAACACCTATATAAAAAAAAAAAACAGGAAAATGAATTGTATTTTGTCTAATAATCACAAATATAGAACAGYTAGGGATGTATTAATGCTGTTTAACTGTTTTAAATGGTGATGTTAGGGTTAGAGACTGATTGTTTCAGCTTTTAAATGAATAAATGAAAGTTGAGTGTTTAAGTTCCTGCTGTCCGTTCTCGCAGATCGACACCAGTGAAGCTGACCTGTCCGACGAGAAGGCCTGGTTGGATCACGCCTGCTCTGGGATGGAGGACGACACTTTCCAAGCCTCCATGATCGCGCTCCACGGCAGCAGCTGCGGTGCCGACCTGGATTTYCTGCACTCATCCACACCCAGGGTAAACAAAGGTGTCTGTAGGAAAACAACAGGAATGCAGCAATAATTATCATTATTMTTATTTGAAAATTGTGTCTTCTGTGCCACAAGAGTACCAACTCTTTAAGTAAATGTTAAATTCTAAGAAAAAGAGCAAAGTTTCAGACTCATTTTTAGTTTTCACAAAGGTCACAGCTGACTTTAGATGCTACACTTTGGAATTTAATTGATAGTTTCAGAGGAGACACATCCTGTAAATTCCACTTTTTTAGCCRTTAAATTCATTTTTTTGTGTACTTGAAGTCTTWAGGAGTGCAGAAAATWAGAGTTTAGTCTCTCCTTGGTGCTGCATAGATATCTACTTAGTCKGAGTCAAATTTTTTGTACTSKTTGAGTTTTCARTGACGTTTTCTGAACTATTACATCACAGTATTTGCTGCGGAAATGCTAAACAAGGTCATGGACTTTCAGCTTACCCATTTCAAAAATCTGCAATTCTGCAGGTTGTTTTCACTCTCCTCTGTCTCCAACATGTAAGGCTGGATGGGTCAGTCTTACGTTGTTGACATCTTTTAGTCAATTTGTAAATAAAACGTTTCTGCGCCGCTTCTTCGCCATCTGCTATCTCTACCAAACTTCAAAAATGGCCGAACAGTGTGGAGTGGACAAGGATCACTGACCTGGAGGTGGGCGGGGTTAGAAGCGCCACATTTGGATTTAAAGAGACAGCACCAAAATGAGTTGATCTAATCTCAGAACAGGGGTGAAAGAGGGGCTTGTGGAGTTACAATAAGGAGGAAGTCAGACCAAAGCATTGCAGTTCCACCAGTGAGGTGCTGTGAGGTTCATGGATGGTGAGGCACTCAGTTCATCAGAATCAGATTTACAAATATATGAACCTGCAGAACAACTTATTCACCATATGACTGGCAGAAGTTAATGAGTTATGTCTCATATCTCATATCAATGTTCTTTACACAATCTGCAGCTTATTTGATGCACATTTCATTAAAACAAAGTTATTATGTCCTACCTTTACTTATAACTTAAGTCCATGTACCACTGAAAATATCCCATCTGAGTCCACAGCTGTCACAAGTTGAAAAATGTCAGGGTGAAAAAAGTTCCTCTCAGGACCTCCACACAGTGTCCAACTGTTTCAGAAGAGCTTTAGTCTCAGCTGTGGTGTGGCTCTTATTTACCTGCTGCTTTMAAGTAGTTTAGAAAGTAGTTTAAGCTTTAAAATACAGTATATAATCCTCCATTCTAAAAGTCAGGTTTAAAAGAGAGAAAACAAATGGATCCCTGCTGTACTTTACTTTTTTTAAACTTTAGAAACTGAAACTTTACAAAACAGGTACCTTAAACACTGCACTTGGCTTGCTAACTGTAATTTGTTGTTCTTATTTTGCAGCTAATGAGCTGAAGCTCATGCATTCTCTGAGCTCATGAGTGCCCCCTGCCGTTCCTTGAGCCTCTGTGTCTTTTCTCAGCCGTTTCAGCTCACAGAACACATTACATAAAAACATATTTATAGAATAAACATCAGCTAAACTGTGGAATTCAAGTGTATATTAAAAAAAAAACGAAACATTTTATTGACGACATATAGAGACATTTTCTGCTGTCACTACATAACATGCAGGAGGGATTGCGCAATCCAAGTGGAGACAGAGCGGGGTTGAAACGATTGCGCAGTCTGGAGACGGAACTTGATTTTTCCTCATAGTCCGTCTCGTCCTGTTTTTGAACAGGATATAAGGAAATTCAGCGATTTTGAATAAGAAAAATATTGAAAAATGTTTGTTAATTGAAAATGTGTTTATAGTGCAAAGCATTATTTAAATATGACAGTTTAATGTCTTTAATATTGTTTTTTTTTTTTCATTTTAATTTCCATGATGAAAGGAGAGGCCTGCCTCTAGTGACCGCATGTCACTGAGTTCCACTTTATATAGACCTCCGCTGAATGGTTTAAATGTAAAAAAGAAGGAATTAAAAACACGACATGTCTACTTTTAAAGGGACAACTATAGATCACAATATTAATGAGGGATTTTCATAAAACATATGTTAAACACTTTTATTGGATCAGACTGTTCTGTTCTGTTGGGTATTAAACAAGTTTTGTTTATAACTTTGGCATTAATTGCCTGTCTRTTAGCAAAATATCTCWWGAGGCACRGGAGAGRTTTGAATGAAACTGCCAAAGGKTTGGCAGCAAATTTTTTCATGAGTGTAGATAACCCACCACTTAAAATACTGCATATAACGTTCAAGTGGTAGTTTACCAAATTAAGAAAGGATCAGGGGCCCATTTGGCCAAAAATACCCAGTGTTCAAACTCACAGAAACCAACAAGAGTCACCAATTAATTTTCTGTGCTACATAATCCACTCCACTGCTCATCTCATAAGTGCTTGTTCCTTACAAATGTGGCACCATTTAAAAGGGAAATAGGCTTTCCAACGGTATAAGATTTATTGCCAAGAAGCAATGGGCCTCATGCAGGAACATGTTCGTATTCTTATCCTAAATTTCTCTTACCTTTGTTC